CAACAACTAGTGAAAGCTCGGGAGGAGAAACTACTATTGCACCTTCTGAACCAACAACTAGTGAAAGCTCGGGAGGACAAACTACTGGTCCACCTATTCAAACGCCCGGTACTGAAACCACGGGAGGAGAAACTACTGGTCCACCTACTCAAACGCCCAGTACTGAAACCACGGGAGGAGAAACTACTGGTCCACATACTCAACCACCACCGACTGAAACCCCGGGAGCAGGTTCGTCACCTTCTACAACACCTGTTCCAATACAGCTTCCTGTTAATTCCACCTTTGTCTAACCACTGTAATTTCCTATGTTTCCAAAATTGTAATGTTCTTGGGTGCTCACATGAGGCTGTAAATGCTTACATTGTTGTGTGTTGTGTGTGTATTACTTTAAATTTAAAGGCCCTTGTTATCCGAACCCATGTGGAAGTGGAAGCACCTGTGCCCCTCGTCATAATGAAACCTTTGTGTGCTTGTGCTTGGCTGGTGATTTCTACAATGATGGCAGTAAAATTTGTGAGAAGGGTAAGTAAGTATAGGTGTGTATGTACAGCATCTGTGGTATGTAGGAGGACCAGGAGCAGTAATACCTAGTATTGCCATTTATTTATAATAAGCTTGGTTTCAGTGAAGTCTGGGATCAAGCCAGTCAACATTATAAACATCTTTAGAAGACCAGTGCTACATTAATCATTTCATGAAATATCTACAGCTACAGTTAAACATTTTGGGATGAGAAGATCATACTGCTCTCATACGTTTAGCTTAGCTTAGCATAAAGACTGGAAGAGGTGGAAACAGTTAGCCTGGCCTGGTAACAAAATACACCTACCAGCACGTCTAAATTAACATTATATTATATTACATTATATACATTGTATTTTGTTTGTTCAATCCACAAAGAAAATTGTAAGAACAACTTCCAGAAGTTCTGTTGTTACCATGATGTTTCGAGGCAATCAGAAGAGATTTCTCCTGTCTTTATGCTAAGCTAACCAGCTAGTGACAATTGCCATATATTTATTGGACAAGTATTAAAGTGGGATCAGTCTTCTCATCTAACTCTCAGCAAGAAAGCAACCAAGCGTATTTCTCATATTGCTGAACTATTGTTGTTGAATGTACATGCAACTTTCTAAAGATTGTATTGTCCTGTTTAGCCAAAGTGTTCCCTGGACAACTAACCCTGCCTGGAATTGTGTACGATGACACTATGGCTGACAAGAAATCAAAAAACTTTCTAGACACCTCAAAAAACATTACTGAAGCGGTAAGCAATCAGTTTTGTTTTGTTAGTTTTTGAATTTGAATAAATTCTAGGTTTGGAATAAAGGCAGGTTATGCACACACATTGTTTTTTTAATATCTCTCAATTACTTGGCTATGAGTGATCCATATATTTATCCATGATTTTCACACATTTAATTTTTTTAAGTAGATCTTTAAACAAGCTAACTGTGCCTATCTTTTGCAACAGCAAATACTATGCACCTGTTTTATCTTGTAGGAATTATATTATAATTATAAATAAGTCTTCCTTTTTTGTCCTTTTAAGATGTTTGATATTTTTGATGCAAAAATACCCTGAAAAAGATCTGTTGTTGCTCTCTGTTCACTAACAACTGTGATAGTTTCACTCACCTGTGCTACATTTGGGTATTAAACCTGTTGTGTGTGGTAATGAATGTACTATGCTGCTGCACAGTGTCTATGCATTCCCAGTGAAATGATGGCCTTAATAACATAGTATTTTATTTCCAAAACACAGCTGTCAGTTGTATTCGAAAAAAAATATAATGATTACTCTGGATCTATAGTGCTGGACATCCGGTAAGTTGCAAAGTGACTGGTTTAACCATCTTATTCTCTATCTAAAACCATACCTTCTACAGTACACTTACAGCACATTGCACATAATAATTGCAAAATATAATCATCATTAAGTGTCATTTATGTCTATATAGGCCCATTAACAAAGCCAAAGTTTGGTTAAGGAACAATGATGGGGTCATTACAACTGTAGAGATCATCTTCACACCAAGCGCTGGCATCAAAACAGAAGAGGTTTTAGAAGTAATGAAGGATGCTTCCAAGTCTTCAGACACTGCACTGAAAGGCTCAACTTTTAAAGGTAAGTTATCAGTCATGAATTTGTCTGATCTTTATGTAGTTTGATGGTGAGATTTGTCTAAATAACATCCAAACAAGACATATATTCATTTATCAGGTAGGACATAAGTGACAGAATGCTGTGCACTGTTTCTACAGCACTGTGTAAAATTAATTTATTCATTCATTTATCTGTTACACAATATAATTTATTTGTAAAAAGTATCCTTTACAAATGGTTTAGTTTTAAACATTTTTCGCTATTCGGGCTGTGAAATGCAGAACAATCTATTGCTATGGTGTTTTAATAACCCTATCATTTTGAAGGGGTTTTGTTCCAGCAATCATTTCACTTACTGTGGTAAACAAACAAAAAGGTTTTATTATAATATATGATGAGAAGATTGGCATCAAAATGTGTTTGGTGTGTGTCTGTCACATCGTGTGCCTACTAATGCATTAACATCAACATAGTGATGTTTATTATTTTGTGCTGCAATTCTTCTGCAGTTACTTTAATAAATTGAAGACAACTGATGTTTTCACACAGCCTGTTTAGGGAATTCTGGATAGTATCTGTTTTTAAGTGAGTCAAGGTTTCATGCTGTTGATTTATAATGAATATGTTACTACCAATGAAAACTGTGGCTTAGAAGACATACATCTCAGAAAAGTAGCTTAATCAAGTGGTCTATCCCACCATATAATGAGTAATGCCCACTTAACAATACCATAATTACTCAATTGCAAAAGTAACCAGTAGGCAAAACGCTGGTCCCCCTGCCATTGCACATATAGTAACCTTCGTACAGTGTACAGAATATAATTCAGCCAATGAGTAATAATGTCTTTTTGGTAATGGTATTTTTCAACTACTATCACCACATTGTACATTTCTGTCCACAGTTCATATTATGTTATTTTTCTCTGTATTTTATACCACTGCACTAAGTTAGGTGTACTGATACAATCTTCTTTTGTTTCTTTCATTTAAAGAGGAAAAGCTGTGTGATAAGGAGCCCTGTGATAACAAATCCACCAAATGCTCATCACGAGATGGAAGTTTTACTTGTGAATGTATGGACAACTACATTAAGACAAACTTCAGTGACAGAATTTGCATTGGTAAGAGCATTCAGTGAGTGAGTGAGTGAGTGAGTGTGAGAGAGAGAGAGAGTGTGTGTTATATAATATCTTTTCTTTAACTAAACAACAAATGACTTTTGCAGCTTGTTCCAGTGGCACAAAAGCTGATGGATCCTCCAAATGTGTCGCGTAAGTGCTTAAATGACATAGCATGTTCGGAAAATGACTGAAGATCTGAAATGATCTAATTGTACTTAGACATTTCATGCAAACCATCGTTGAGTAGGGAAAAAGCTGAGAGCTGCTGTAAATATGACGTGTGTTTGTAGAGAGTTTGGGTATCAATACGGACTATTCTTCTTGTCTTTCAGTTGTCCATTTGGTTATTCTGGTTTTAACTGCAATGAATGTGAGTATACAGCATGTGGTTGACAGTGAAGGCAACATAAAAAATCACTATTTGAAAATAGTTATATGAACTTGTTGCAAACGCACATAGAAACTGTAATACCTCCCTAAATCATGTTCATACACAACTCCTGGAAAATGCAAAATAATTCAGGGGGAAACATAATCCTGCTTGTATTGCTTTAATACCAATGCATGGCAAGTAAATCACTGTTTAAGACACTGTAAAGATTTTATTTGGACTGGTCAGTTTGGTCTGTGCTGCAGTGGTCTGCAATACTTGCTTTACAACAGGATCTGTGTACTGAATGTCAACTGTATGTTGTTTGAGCAGATTTTGGATAAAAGTTACATTACTTCCATGACAAAAATACCTCAGTAGGTACATTTATATATAAAATCAGTGGATTTGATTTCATTATTGCTATGACTCTGATTGTGGAACCAATTTTTAGGTTTTGTGTTTTAGAAAAAATATTTCCATAGCATAGCCTTGTTACTGATGTCATTATCACTGTGTTTTGTTAGCATGGCAGCTGACGCTGGTGATTGTCGGGTCCGTGTTAGGGGGACTGCTGCTCATCACACTCATTCTTCTACCCATTGTGGCACTTAAGTGAGTTTCACACACTCCTTGACATTTTTGCCTCATTCATGCTACACATAAATCTTTATGCAACCTGGCACATTAATTATTAAAAGTAGCCTGGTGTTTTTAACTCCCAATCACATCAGTCAAAGAAAAATCAATTTACAAATGTAATAAATAAAATATAATACAGTAATACAGTAATACAGATAGAGTAGACAGTAATATCTACTTTTGTTTTATCTTTTCAGATCCCCAAAGAAGAGTTCCAAGAAGAACAAAAATGGAGACATTGGGACTTATGTCACCCACTCTCCTGCCAAGGCACCATTGGTTAACGGCAACCACACAGCCTCATTTAATGGGCAGGCCAATTCCTTTGCCAATGCTGGGGTGCCTAAGATCCCACGGGCCACAACCAACAGTAGCTGGGACAACAGGACCAACCTGGAGATGACTCCAAGCAATAGCCGGCAAAACCTAGTCAATTCGGGGAGGAACATGGTGAGTATGCCTCTGGGTGTGCTTCATGTATAATGTGGGAGGGAGGTCAGGATAAGCTAAAGAAGTATAAGAAGAATGCTGAGCAGAAAAGGAATGAAAATATTCAGCAGGGTAAGAGAGGAGAAAATCTGGCATATACTTGGTCTTGCAATTCTCTCATAAAGAAAGTCTCTTTTCATTGCAGCGGCAGTTTGAAGACGATGATGACATGCCCCCTTATGCTCAGTCTCGACCCCAGAGCAGCCTCTATGCTCAGGCTCGACCCCAGAGCAGCCTCTACGCTCAGGCTCAACCCCAGAACAACCCCTATGCCCAGGATCGAGCCCAGAACAACCCCTATGCCCAGGATCGACCCCAGAACAACCCGTATGCTTCGAGCCAAGGCCACGCAAACCCTTACTACATGCATGACAATGGAAGACGGTTCAATTAATGAGGAACCACAAAGGTTTATCCTACAGTGACACACCCAGATCAAAAACTTGTTGAGGTTTCATTGGAAACACCTCAGAATAAAATTTTCCCTAAAAAATAACTGTTCACTATTAATATAGTCTTATGGTAAGAGTTGTTTTAACAGAAGCACTAATTAATATTACTGTGCCATATGGCAGGTATGTTCTTTCACCACACTGACCAGCATTGTTCTATTCTGTAAGCTGTTATAAATCATTCCTGTCTTTGCTTGACTAATCTCTGTGTAAGCTTGAGAAACATACACTGTAGTTATCTTTGCCGTCTATGAATATTGATATTACTTACTTAAAGATCACCTCCAGACATGTATTATGACATATAAAAATAATTTGCTTGGAACATTTATGTGTTTCAGATATTTTTTTTCTGCAAAAAAAAATAATTTACACATTAAAATCCTTAAAAAGGCATTTACTCCTTCTACCTCAAATGTCTCCTACTTTATTATGAAGTCCATTCTCAGTGTATGCGATGTCACAAAATATGCGTGTAGTCTGTAGCCCCTTAAAATCGGATTTTAAAAAAGCACAGAGAAACTTTCCACTTTCATGAAAAGCATATTTTTGAGTAGACAGGGACTTAAGGAAGTGTAATTGTTTAATGGCATTGAGTCAGAAATTGATACTCTGATCAGGCTGAAACCCAGAAATGAGGATGTTCATTATCTTTCTCTTGCAATGTTATTAAATGGCTCGTCTATGAATTTACAAGTTATTATTTCGCATGTAAAATGATTTAAGGTTTGTTTTTTAAGTTTCTTTTGTTCTAATAAAATTTAATGAGTTATTCTTTCAAATTAGGGCATATTAGTCCATCCATATATTTTTAAATGTTTACTACATTGAAATTGTTTTGTCTGTTTTGTATAACTGAGAGTATATTTTGTGTATTATTAACAACTTTAATGTCTTATTGACAAGAAGCTGTTTATTTAACATGAATAAAATAAAATAGCAATATTTCCGTGTCCAAAATATGTCACTCATAATATCATATGATATTAAATTCATCCACTACTTTAAATGTTTCACAAGGTTATGTTACATTAAAACATTTCAACCCTGAATACAATTGATTTAAAAACGTTGCATGCATTAATGCTACCGCTGGAGGGCGCCAAAGTTTTACAAACACAGAGACTTAAATCATTTGTGTCAGTGATGAATACAGGGTTGACATACAAGGCCTCATAGTTGGTCTGTCCATAGGATTTAGTTATCTGATCTAATGATCTAACTTACTTGATTCATCAAAGCTGCTGGCTGTCTGCGTTAGGCTACAAAATGTCTTTTTCTATTTCATTTTGTTAGCACGAAGCAAAGATGATTACAGGAAATGCTTTAACGTGAAAGTATACATGTTAATTAAGGAAATGTATTTAATTGAAGTACAGAAACTCCCCCACTGTAGCTATTCATTATTACTTTGTTTCATTACACCACTTCCCGATCTTTGTAGATCTACAACGTTAAAACTGAAAAAAATACCAAGAGTAAATGGAATTAGGGGTGAAAGCAAATCAAGAGTGTGTGTCAGTTTAGTAACAAATGCCGTTTTCATCAACATGCAACAACAGAGAAAACATGATTTTAAGCTTCAGTGACTGGGAACACATGGTTGTAAGGAGCACATAATCTGTGTTGTGGGAAGTTAACATCTGATTTATTAAACTGCTGATATACTCCTTGCCAGAGCAGATGGTTTACATATTATTTAGCTGTAACTGTAGGTTCACAGTTTTTCTTTCTCAATCTACTGAGGAGGATAAATGTAACAGAAAATACTTTTTTGTATAGGCTTTGCAGCACTTGGCACTGTCAGATCTTTTACTTTTAAAAAATACTACAGTATAAACATACTCTGCCACAAGAAAAAGCCTTGCAAGTAAAAGTGCAAAAGTATTAGGATGAAAATATCCTTAAAGCACCAAAAGTAAAAGTACTCATCATGCAGAATATATCAAATATAGAAAAATATTTATTATTGGATTATAATTAGTGATGCATTCATGTCTTCATCACTTTACCACAGCTAGTATAGTACTTTATATACATTCTTCCAGGTAGCTTAGTCTATAATATATAATAATATATTTGTTGATTTATATTGCCTCCAAGTATGAAGTAACATAAAATGAAAACGCTCCTCAACATTGTACTTAATTACATCTTGTCTCATTCTACTACTGGTATATATTCACCACCGTTGTCACTAAGCAATAGTCCTTTGTGCTGTAAACCAACTACGCAGATTTACCGTGACAAGGTCACACATTGTAAAATGCAATTAAGACCAGGAGAAGCTGCCAATAGTTTGATAAATAATCTGGCTATCATAGATATTAACACGCCACACAGCTCATTTAAGTTAATGATTACTTTATTTTTCTGCTCAAACAGGTTGGAATTCATAGACACACATTCATAAATATATATAATAAAGTAAAGATAATAAATATAATAAAGTAAAGGTCCAGTGTGAAACATTTAGGAGGCTCTATTGGCAGAAATGGAACGTAATATTCATAGGTATGTTTTCATTAGTGTATAATCATCTGAATATAGGCAAGGAATTAGAATGAGCTCTTTATGTCACCATGGGTCGCCTTCCACGGAGTTGGCCATGTTGAACCGCCATGTTTCGACAGTAGCCCAGAACAGACAAACCTTTTTGTCCTACACACTTCACACCCCGTCCTTATTCGCAGTTAGTCAAATACAGACGCCAGCAGCGTTCAGTTACTTGCAATCTGTAAAATCACTGCTAGATGCCACTAAATCCTACACACTACACAAATAAAAGCAGTACCAGTGCAGTACAACCCAATACTATACTGCTTGTACACCACCCCCTCCACCCTGTATGAAATTACAAATGTAACAATCATATTTATTGCAGGGATTGCAAGTTGTATTTGGGATTTGTATTTGTTTGCAATTCATTTAACAGGTGTCACATGTAAAATATTCATATTTAAATCGCGGTCTCACCTACAGTGTGTTTTCTGTGGGTTATTTTGATTATAAAGCATGTCAATTGTGCTGTAGTGTTTTGTTTGTTTGTTGTTGTTTTTTAAAGCATGTTTATTCTTATGAACTATAATGTTTTATTAATCCTGGTACAGTGTTAACTTCCTGAGGTAGACTGTTACACAAAAATGAGTAGCTTCTTTTTCTTGCTGATGTAGACAACATACCAACAGGTAAAAGTTAATCTTAGATGAAGTTTATGTAGAGGGGCTAGCCATAAAAAGCGGTTTTACTCCTTGTCACATTATTGGTCCGCTGGTTGCTCCCAGTTGTGCATCTCAGTCCCAAAGGTAGTATCTTCCCCAGGCTCATTTGGGTTAGCTTTAGCATGAGTGTACACACTTTGTCAAAGTAACACCAGAATTAAATTATGGGCCTAAGCGGTCTTCATCTTCTATCTCTTCTACTGCTGTCTCAAGGAATTCAACTTACTCAAGGTATGTGGATACTCTTGATTTCACAAAAATACGTTTTCTAGACACTAATATGTTAAAGCTAAGTAATGAGAGAAGGATAAAACTACTACAAATGGTAAGTAGTGGGATTTTAGGATTTTTGTATCATCACAGTGCTATTTTCACCAAAACATTGAGCTTCAATGAATTTCCTCTTTCACAAATATTGTAAAATATTGTAGGTTTTTTTTCCCAAATCTGTTTATTGATGGGTTTTTTTATAGGATGTTTTACAGGACATTTCCAGAGCTGTACAACATTTTCTTTTAGTAATTTGGCACTCACTTTGAAAAAAGAATATGTTAGATTAATGAAAACCATGAAATTATTGACAATCTTTGCTGAAATTATTAAGTATTATTAATTAAAACAAGCTTTTTTAAAAGGTTGTTTTATTGTAACGCATGATGTTAAATAATAAAAGGTAAAAGTTTACCAAAGTGTTTTAGCATTTAGAAATTCTAAATTCGTACCTATGCAAGGTTTTCGGTAACCAGAACTTTACAATACAAAGTACACATTTTTGACTTTTTATCAAATTCAAATTCAAATTCATTCAAAATTAAATTTCACAAATACTGAAACGTTATAAATGCACAAGAGATACAAAGTACACATCTCTGTGCTGATTCAGGCATCAATAATCTATTGGAAATGATAGGCTGCATACTCCAAGGTCATAACATTTTCATAGATGGTGAAGATTTAACTATCCTTTAATGGCCGAATCACATGTTTTAAGGTTCAAATGTTGCATACAGTGTGGCCACAGCTGTTATAAACATGGTAATTCATTTGTCAAGGAAACAGTAAAAAAAAAACCCACTATCTTTTCATTTGTCACTAAATGTATTTTAAATGATATTAAATGTGTAACTGAAACCACACAGTTCAGGCCCACACTATGCCCATAAAGCGATAAATGGTGACAGATGTTTTATCCTTCTGTCTCTGTGTGCGTTTTCTGCAGGAAGTTGTGACAGTACGGAGTTTCAGTGCTCCAGTGGACAATGCGTCGACATAGCTTGGAGGTGTGATGGGACCAAAGACTGCACGGATGACTCAGATGAGCTGAACTGTCGTGAGTATTATAACCAATCACTGGAAACACAGACAGTACGAAGAAAATAAGTGTTTCCACTGATTTGATAAACTCTCCACACAGACATACAGCATATGAATGTCTATGTGATAATCTGCGGTACAGAAACATAAAACCAAGCCTGAACATAGGACCATAAGCATTGTTAATTGTGTGTAAACTCTTGTTTTGTTCTTTTTGGCAGCACCTCCATCATGCACCTCACAGGAATTTAAGTGTGTAACAAGCGGTGAATGCATCTCTTTGGGATTTGTCTGTGATGGGGACGAAGACTGCATCGATGGCTCAGATGAACAAAGAACCTGTGGTATGCAGATTGTTTCTGTGCTGTAGGGAAGAGGCTATTTATTCTTTGTTCCAACTGACACACCTTCTATGAACAAGAATATGTTATATCATTCAGAAGCTAAAGGAGGATCATGGGGGACAAAAACCAGCCTTATCATGTGGAGTAATGAAGAGTAAAACCACAAGGTGGCCACATCATCTCAGTATAAAACTTAAGCCTTTCAACAGGAAAATGCAATTAAATTTTCAATTCAATTTTATTT